GTTTGACCGAGTTTCCTCCAGTCACCCTTCAATCATTCGTGATGCTACCCACGTTCTTCATGACATGTACAACACGTCATGCTTGGATCACGAGGAACCTGAAGGGGTCGAGCGACCTAGAGGTCGACAACCGAGATGTTAATCGTCATGTGTACAGCCAAGACTTGGATAGTTCTCTGCGGCATATCCGGTGGGGAAGAGGACCTTGCAGTCAAAATCATTGGTTTGACGAGCCACTTGATCTCTTTGTCGTTGCAAACATCTACAAGTGTGCAGTCATGCATTTCGGGCTTGGTTTGCATAGTCGAGCTTATTTTCCATGTACCACGGTTCTCCCTTGGTGTTCGCATGCGACTGTCACCAGACCGGTAAGAGAGTTAGCTATTGCATTTCTGGGGTTGTCATACAGACATTTCATCCGATTGGACCTGTCATCCGAATTTTCGGTGCCACTGATCATACCTCGATGGTACACCATTCGCAGACCAAGCGTAGAGGGTTAGAATGTGTTGTATCATGACCGCATCCACCATTGGAACAACCTAGCTGCCTTTTAGTTTTTCATGCATATACCTTTTCTATGTAACCTTGTATTTGTATTGCTATTTTTATTCCATTTATTTATTTTTTGTATTCTAATTTTGACTAGATTTATATTTTGCATGCATACTAATTAGTATTTGCGCGTTACAAACTAAAAAGATAATGTCAAATTTTAAAAACTTAAAATGATAATGTATATGTTACAAACTTAAACGATAATGTCAGATTTTACAAACTACTATGATAATGTACAAAATGTTCTATAACAAACTGCCAACAGATCAGTAATCCCTCTTTGACGCCCACTGCCACTGCCCAATGGTCCGTTCCATATCATCAATAACAGCTCTTCCTGATGCAGTCGTCATGTTGTCCCTCTCCTCAGAGAATCTTTGTCCCAGTTGCATCATCTTTCCCATCCACTACAACCAACAAAAAAAATCAAATTCAATAACGATATATAATAATAATAATAATAATAATAATAATAATAATAATAATAATAATAATAAAATAAAATAAAAATTAAAAAAAAACACACAACAATAAATGTTTTATGAGACATACCGCATCCACGGCAATGGGCGGTGGCACATCATCATCATTATTGGCGTCGTCGCCATGGTGGAGGTCTCTGATCAACCTCGGGTAAGAATACCGGTTGTACCATTCCATGTAGTGGTGGTCACACATGGGAGGCACCCCAGTTGGTGGCCTCTACAGCTCCCCAATCCATAGGCGGGCAACCATCAGAAACTGCTCCCACGTGGCAATCATGTTTTTGGCCATTGAACGACGTACTCTTTCGACGACGCAGATCGGACCGCCTTACTGGGCCATGGACAAATCTAAGCTAGCGAAGACAGCGTTGGGGCATGTACACCTCTACGATCTCACAATACTGAATCAGTCCCGTGTAGAGGATCATGGGTACCCTATTACTAAGATTCATATAATATAATGCATCATAATATAATATTAGAAATAATTTATACACTTTACCTCTAAGGGGGACATCCTGTCAAGCAATAACCGTATTGATCGGAGGCGGTCAACGGACTTCTTCTCGAACTGTGGACTCCACGCATGGGCACGTGGCATCCCATCCCCAATAGGAACCGGGTCGCGGTGTGGTCAAAATGCAAGAAAATACTCGTATATCCAGGTCTATAATAAAGTCAGACATCCAATGATACCTGCCGCGTCAGCCCGACTCGAGAATCCTAAGTGGCGATACAGATACGCCAACGTAGCCGACCCCTAAGATAACTGGCCTACTCTGTCGGGCTCACACACGTCAACTATGTCGCGTGGCCTGAGCTTGTTTCCGCTCTTATCCGGAAACAAGGTACACCCGAGGAGAAGAAAAACATATGCAGCCAGTTGTGTGTCATGCGTCCTACGTGCAGTGGGGTGCAAACAACGCTGCAAAACGGATGCGATCTTCACACCGCCGGTGATCCCAAACACCAAGCGCCCCGGTGTACAACACAGCCCTGTCCACCGCCAACAACTCCGCTAGTTGTTTGATCCGCATCAGTCACAACAGAAAGTCGTTTTCCCTCTGCGCGAATCCCAAGGATAACCTCGACGTCATGCAACATGATCGTCATCTCACCAAACGAAAGGTGGAAAGAGTTCGTATCCGGCTGCCATCGCCCAACGAAAGCCGTGATTAGCATTGAATCAATCTTATTGTGCATGGTGGCAGGAAGGTGACTCACTCTAGTGCCCTGCAATCGGCTGAACATCTCGCTCTCCTCCGGCCAAGCCTCAGCCCATCTACACAAAAAGTTACAAGTCTTTTCCTGGGTTTGGCATTTCAAAATGTCCGTATCCAAAGCCCTTTTCTGGTCCTCCTAGATACGGGTAGCTATGTGTCCTAGAAAGCTAGGAATCACATTCCCGTCTACAGGTCCCCCAGCCACCTCACACCTCACCACCCAAGAATCATTAACGGCCCTCGACCGTTTTTTGCTTACTGCAGACATAGTGGACGCAGATGATGTGCCAGATCTACTAACAAATCTACCATCTCTATCCTTACGCACATCTACCCTATGCATCTCATACATATCATCAAGCCTCTAACTGAATAGACCGTAATCATCATATGGTCCACTCTTATCGTCCATCCCAAGCACCACATCCTCATCTGCGTCCTCCTCCTCATCACCATCATCATCTTCATCCTCCTCAGGAAAGTGAACCCGTTCTCTGCGAGCCGAGGCCGAAATACCACGGGATCTAACGTGTCTAAGCCCCGAGCTCTCCACTGAGTAGTTTCTACTTCTAATAACGTCCATACTCTTCCCCGCACCAGGTCGAAAATGCGATATCTAACTCCATTTAAATAACGAAAAATAATAGCAATTGTTATTATTATTATTATTTATATTAATAGTCTATTTTTTTAAGTACTAACAACAAAATTTAGAAATAACTAAACAAAAAAAAAATCAAATAAACAAAAAAAATACTAACAAATTGACATAAAAAAAATTACAAAACACTGAAAAAAAAATATAAACAACAAAAAATACACACAAAAAGAAAAAAAAATATACCAAAACATACAAAATAAATATAAACATAAAAAAATAAAAAAAAATAATACAACAGAATTGGAAAAAATAAAAATAAACAAAAAAATATACAAATAATTGAAAAATAAATATAAACATAAAAAAATACAACAATTTTGAAAAAAAATGTAAAAAAAAATACAAAAATTGAAAAAAAAATATATAAAAAAAAAAAAAAACATTACAGAAAACTAAAAAAAATATAAGCATAAACAAAAAAAATATAAATATAAACAAGAAAAAATTTTGAAAAAAAAAATTACAGAAAACTGAAAAAAAAAATATAAGCATTAAAAAAAATATAGGTTGCATCCCAGCCAGATGCCAGCCCCATAGCGGCGGCGGCTGGCAGGACGCCAAGGCCATGGCGACGGCGCCCACGCTGGCCTTGGCGTCCCACCCTGTCGCCGCTGCCGTGGGGCTGGCATCTGGCTTGGGCACCGCCACCGTGGCCATGCCGTTCTGCCAGCCGCCCCGCCTCTTCGGGGTTTTTTTTATTATTTTTTTTTACTTTTTTTAAGAAAATACCTTGCCACCGTGTGACTGTCTTCCCTCCGCTTTCGCTGTCGTCAATTCCTTGCCTTGCCGCCTCGACATTGTAGTTTGAAAGTTGTTTTTTTAGAGAGAGGTGATGAGAGTAGAAAGTTGAGAGAAGATGAGAGTGTGTGAGAGTTTTCTTTTTTTTAACATATAAGGGCAAAAGTGTCACTTCCCTAAAATTTGTAGGCTTTATGTAAAGATTTATGGGTGATGTTTAGCAGTTGACTAAAAAATTTGGAGATAGTGGAGTTAAAAGGAAGAGTGATAAGTACTACTAAATCAAAGTTCTATATTTGGGCACAATTTATTTGAGATATTTGAGATCAAAGATTTGCATAGTTATAATTAAATAAAAATATCATTATGAAACAGAAGAATATATGTAACTCAATACCCTAAGCCTTCTAAATCCAAGTTCTATATTTGGGCACAATTTATTTATTTTTGGCCTGATTCAATCAAGAGTACCCAACTTTTTAGTCCTCATTTGGTTGTATTTGGAAATTAGATACCCATAGGAAATTACAGAGTATAAGTTATGGAAAGTTAAAATTATAATCATGTTTAATTGACATATAGAAAGTTAAAATTATAATCATGTTTAATTGACATATAGAAAATTGTATTTTCATGAATTAATTTTCTATATTTTGTTTTTGTTTGATTAATCTTGTATTATTCCCATATATTATACGTGTTACAATTTTAACAACTTTTTCAGTTGATTGACCAAGATTTTTGGATGAAATGGGGTAAATATGTAAGTTCATCCAAAAATAAACAAAATAATTTGACTGACCAAGATATAAGGGAGAATTATATTCTTACATTTTTTAAGAATTCTCATTTACCCAAGTAAGGCCTCATTCAATTCACCTTATTTTTGATGATCTGAAATTATATTTACTAAACTGAAATTATTTTTGCTGAACTTAAATTATTTTTACTGAACTGAAATTAATTTTACTAAATAGAAATTATTTTTACTGAGCTGAAATTACTTTTACTAAATCTCCATTATATTTCTTCTTTACATTTACTGATTTTTACTGAACTGAAATTATTTTTACTAAACTGAAATTATTTATATTAAATATTATTTTTTTAAGGTGAAGTGAACAGGGCTGAAGTGCGACGTCCTGCATAAATGTTAACCAAACAACTATGCATTTCCTTTATCAAATTTAAATAAAAAAAATAAATAATTATCCACATATTCATTTTCCATAAAATTTGGATTACCACCATCACTAAAGTTAAACCAAACAAAGCCTTAGTAGAAAAAACAGTTCAACCAAACAAAAATACTCTGTATAAGAAATTAAGAATATTGAAAATACTTTATACTAGGTACAAGAATATGGAAAATTTGAGACATTGCCATGAAATAGATGGCATGAATTTTTTTATTGTATGAAAAAATAGTCAAATAGAAAGGTAATATTATAATACTATGCTAAGTACGGAGAAAAATGAAAAGAAATAAAAATGAGGGCTTTGGAGCAAAAAACGGTATCAGGAAGTGACATGTGTCATTCCTAATGTTTGTTTTAGTATTATGTTATTAATGATGATTTTTTTCGGTACACATATTTAAGGGCAGAAATTAACCACTGTTCTTTAATTGCTCAAGGGATAAACTTGATTAGTGAAGAAAAAGCCAATCCAATGTTGCTGCAATATCAAGGATCACGTTGATGCATGCTACAACAAAATGAACAAAAAGATTATCTTGTCAGGCATAAAAATAGGTGCAGGAACCTCTATAAATTTCAAAAGGCTAAAATATATATAAATTAGCAATGATTTCCTACTAGATTCCGTGCGGACCAAATCTGCTAATTTATGGGGAGCTAAGTTTACAGTACCAAAACACTTTCGAAAACGTTAGCTGGAAGAATAGGCTATCCCACATTCCCACCCTTCCTTGAATCAAGGATTACAAAGGAAACAAAAGAGGAAGGACAGGGTTGTGTGAGGTAGTAGGAGTTCCTTAAACCGATGTCAAACTTAACAATCCTAGTGTGAATACAGTGTGCACACAATATAGCTCCACACAGCCCCAAGTGCATGCGCCCATGGTCATAACTCAGGCCCCTCCTTAGTCCTTATACAAATGCAACCGCCACAACATGATGCACCAATTAGGCGTGCAGTGGATTGGTTTAGGAACATCATCACGATTCATTAGTAGAGCATTGTGTACATTTCAGCACATTTTTCCCAGGGTTAAAGATGGGCTGAAATATTGACTATATGGACTCTCTATCAAAATATTCAACATGCATGGTCATCCACCATTCAAAATTAATTCCATAAAATGTTAAAAAGACTTAGGATAACTTGCAGCTTGTAGAAAAATTACAAGGAAAAAAATTATACCAGCAGCAAATCATCTTTAACCGGTTAACGTATTTACAAGTAACAACAGAAGAGAAAATGCATCAAATTCCAGAACATCCTTCGATTCTCCTCGAAATCGTCTCATACTAAACTCAATACAAAGAAGAAATATGGTTATGCTCCAACCGATCCAGCATAAAATATCAGTTTCATCCCTGTAAAGCTTTACATAAAAGGATGTATCATGTCTTTGCCTTCGCTTCCAATTCCCCACATTAGAAAACAGATAGGAACAGAATCACACCCCCACCCCCCCACCCCACCCCCCGCCCGCGGCGAGAATCAACAATTCCAACTTTTTGCTAAAGATGATCATGTTCATTAACAAATACTCTTAGCCTCGTCAATTTCCTTAATAAACATCTCCCCCTTCTAGAACCTAACTTCTTTAAATTCATGCATATCCTAGAGTCCAGACATTCAACTTGTTCTCCATAATTATAAGCTTTTCTATAAATGTAAACCTGAATCCACTCTAACCCTCCAAAGAGAGCACTCACTTCACCATTCTAAGACTAGCTTTTGAAGTCTTAAATGCCAATGTACACATTCATACATCTCAAAGCAGAAAAGAGGATGCAGTACCAAATTTATGGTAGCAATAGTGGTATATAAAGCTAAAAATCTTAAAAACCCCAACACATGAAGTTTCACCACATAAGGCGTCTCTTTCATGCACTCATTTCTAGACAACAAAAAAAAAAAAAAAAAAATGACACCCAACCTTAAAGCTTTCTATTTGCACTTTAAATAGTCTAGCTTTGGTAAAATCCATCTTTCAATTTCACTTTGAGCTTGGTATAGAAGGTCGATGTGAGAGGTAAGGTAAGAACCTCAACATATACTAGTATGAATTAATAATCAATTAAAATTTCGTTATCTCAATCTTGAGAAATGTACAAACATTATAATGGAAAATTTACCCGCTGTCAATTTAGTTATGACATGCCAATATCTGATGGATAACTGCCCAATATTCTCAGCGATGAAGCAAACTCCTGTCAAAAATAGCAGCAGCCATTTACTTGAAATACACACACACACATACATGAAATTAGTTAACAGAGATCTTTCTCCCATATTCCCCAAAGAACTACCTCAATATTTCTGACAGCATTTTGCGCAGCTTTATCTTCCATTGATGCTTCAAAATCCAAATAGAAAAGATAGTTGAAGCACCTGAAAAGTGTAGAAGGAGAAAAAAAAAGGGGTTGAGGCGGGGGAAAAAACAACAATATTCAGCTTGATGTTTTTCAAGGTACCACAGTATGAGAACATGTGCTAAGTATAAGGCAATGTTACTGTATATACTTTAGTGATCCATTTTTGCTAGCTCGATTTGGACGACTTTCAATCTGATCAATGCAAAATACTGTGTTACAACATGATTTTAGTATAATTAACGCTAGTCAGTAGTTGAGACACATTGGTAGATGGGAAAACACACCTTTGTGAGGTTGATTTGCCTCAAAGAAAATGCAGCAAGTGCTGGAAATAATGCCCCAGGACCCTCATCCAGTGCAAAAACAATACTTGTCTGACAGGCATATTCATCAAATCTCATATATATACAAACAAAATCATGCCTGAATTATGGTACATAGTTACTTTTTATCATCTCTGATACCTTGAATGGCCTAATAGCTGATGGAGTTATTGGCTCCCTTGCTAGCATCAAGAATCGAGTGATGTTATTAGAATAATCCTGTAGAAGAAATCAAGTGACAAATAGGTCTCGAGTTACTTAGGGTACTTTTCATTGAGGCTCATCCCAATTCAACGCTTTAGTATATCCCACCTGAATGTTTTCAGCTAGTACATTTAGTCCATAGATTTTAGCAGCTGTGGCACTAGCAACTGCACCTGCATCTTTGAGCTGGTGGTTTGCAATATACTACAAATAAAACAATATATACAGCATATGAGTCACATTTTATATGGTATAAATGTTTAGTAAAAGTCACAATCAGGGTCATAGTATAAGTGATTAGGATGCACAATTCAGTTAGATTGCTTGCCTAGCTGAGGCACCTTTGCCTCATAACGATTAATTGACTGGAGTTGTCAATTTTGATGGCACTAAAACATTAGCTTTGCAGCTGTTATAAGGTTATTAATTCGTTGGACTGAAAATTTCACATACTTTAGGCGACAAAAAAGGTACTTTCCATCAGTTGGACCTAGCTAAGGTGACCTTCCATCAGTCATCAAGTAAAAAAACTAAGAATCAATATTCCATCCATTAAACAACCACTTTGTTCAACCCTTAAGGAAAAAAAAAAAAAAAAAGGTTTTAAAAAACTACCAGACCAATTCTATCAGTTGGGTTGCTCTCACACTTTTCTCATTAATCAAACTAGTCTCGCACTTTCCTCAATCATCACAAAATAGTATATTTGATAATTACAGCAAAATAAAAGGAGTAAGGAAAAAGGACAAAAAATCTTAAACGAGCTAAAGCAAAAACTTACTTGTGCTGAACCAGCAGTGTCATCAGCTACTTCTCTAATTAATCCAAACTTGGTCAATGTATTCTCACATTGAGCAAGAGCCTACAAATTCATTTTTTTTGAATTAAATTGACGCAAATATCATATCTAAGAACAACATGGATTAGTATAAGATCTAAATACCTGTGGATGGCTTAACACTCGTTTCAGGTCTTCAAGTGTTACACCATGATTGGCTAATAAGCAATGCCGAATAACAACTTTTATTTCACCAACTATATGAAGTCTATGCCGCAACATAAGATCATAATTCCTATGGATGCTACCCCCTAGAGAATTCTCAATAGGTAAAACAGCTCGATCAACAAGCCCCTTCTCAACAGCCTGGAGCAATAAATGCAGACCTCAGGCAAATACATATTTTATGGGCTTATGGTTTTACACAATAAACTGTCTTAAAACAAGGAAGATATAGAGAAATTATTTTGCAACCCCCTTTTTTTTATCTCCAGCGGATATAGCCAGTAACAGGCACTTAAATTATGCTCTTATGAAAAAATGCCGTTAATCTAGTGCCTCTAATTGACCGCATACATATTAATTTGTTTTGACTAATTCTTGTTTAATGCAGGACAAAAGCAATTTGTGACACCAGTCACACCACCCAGTCTAGTAAGATGTAAAGTTGCAACTTGCAAATAAGTGAAGGGTAATATGAGAGATAGATAAGCAGAGGTTTTATTGCGATCAAAAGCATGCATACAGCAACAAGAGAAAGTTTGGTTCCTATCATTTAATGCCGTCAATAGTAAAACTACATTTGACTTGGAATGCTGGATAATCAAGTTGTAATCCATTATTTATTTAGTTCTTTAATAGCTAAGCGGATACGACTGGAACTGAATTAAACTCTGAAATGCTAAAAAAAGGGAAAATACATACTCCATAATTCTAACAAAGGAAAGACCAAAATAGTGATGTGAGTGGCAATTTCTTGACAACTTTTTTATATTTATTTTTTTGAAAGAAAATGCAAGCTAGTTCATTAATCAATAGACAAAACGTCCATAGTTACATATGGGAAGATATCCCTAGGAGCATTTTTTCTCAATAAGTTTATGATAAGCTAAATGGGATACAAAAAAGGTTTCCCCTGCAAAAAAGAATTCTTTAAAATTTCTCCTTGGTGCCAACTGCCTAGTTTCTATAATCACAGTCTTCATGCCCCCAATTAAACTTTGCCAAATAAACAGAAATAGGATTCCCAATATCAAAGATACAAAGTCATACTTTATATTAGATTAGTACACCACACAACTTTTATTAATCACTTTTAGAAATATATTTTAATTATGCATGACAAAATTTCAAACAATGTAAGTAAATTGAACGTAAATGACTGATAACAAGCTAACCTACTATGTGCCTAGAAACATCACAAGATTAAACCTATTTCACTAATGTATAATAGGTACACACTCTTCCATCCCTAATATCAACATAACACCAGATCGACCTTCTATAAAGGCTCCGACCATGGGTGTACACAACTAACCACACCCCCAAAATTAACATAAAGACTTTCTTATTAACTCTGAACCCTATACACAACAACCATCTGCTGCTTTATAGTAGATAAGAACTTGGTCAGTTTAGATGTAAATTAGTCAATTAGAATCGTAAGGCCAAAGAACAGAAAGTCTATGGCTCCACGAAAATGATCTGACAATGAAATCATCTTATTCACCAATCTTGAATTTTTTTAAAGCTGCTAACTAAAAGTCTAATACCCTCGTTTTCTGACTGATAAATGAAGGCATTATTATTTTTTTTTACTTCCAGCTTCAATAGGGGAACCGGGAATTTAACCTATAACTCAAGAAGTCAAGCTTAAATCTCTAATCAGCTCTGAACATGTATGCAATCGTAAATGGTATTTAACGAATTGCCTCTCTAAAATGCCAAAATCATTTTAAAAAGATAATAATATGTACAATCATTTATTCAATTAAGCCAATAGTTTTGAGAATGTACTTCGAAAACAGTCTCGAATTGCTCACAAGGTACAGCTTCACAATTCGGATACGCCCTCTCAGCAGCAAGCTGACTATATGCACCAGGAACTCCCTGTAAATGCAAGTTTGATTCAAAAAATAATCAGAGATTCTAAATTCGAAACACTTGCCTAACCTTAATTTCTTGATCAAGCAACTCCATTATATAATTAAACAGCATTCTTGTCAAAATTTCCCTATAAACTTAACAATGGTCGACTGAAAACCTCTTTAATTTTTTTTCCGAAGTATTTATTTTTATTTCTTTAACAGAATTGTCAAAACTTCAATGTATATTTTGACAACATTTTAGTCAAAACTCCACTAAAACAATTATATTTATTCTGTTATACTATGCAGTTCTTATTTCTCAGAAAAATAACTTCTCATTTTAAATATATTGGCTACTGGCTAGAACAGCACCCAACCCCCAAAGTTTGTGCTGTTCATCGCTCCACTCAAAATTCATGCTATTGAGCGCACCCAAACAATAGTTTGTGCGGTTCTAAGCCAATTTTGCCTTTTTTTTAATTTTAAAAAAAAAATCTGAAAATCAGCCGTGAAAACATAAATTGAAATTGTACTCTTGAAAAGTAAGTAATGAAAGTGACAACTGAAAACCAAGCACATATAACTGTAAATGAGCAATAAAAAAGTAAAGGAGACCTGATATGCAACACGAAGCAGAGGAACTTGGGACGACGGATCAGCCATTCAATGTTCAGGGGCGGAGAGAGTTGGGTGGGTGAGTTGGGGTTGTTAGGTAGACACACAAAAGTGATTCAAGAATTGGGCATTCGACATACAGGAAGTTATCTTAGTTATAAAGTCCTGCACGGTTGGTTTGTAGCATGTGTATGACCGTGTTTCGAGGGAAAACAATGGGTCCTCTGTCTGGACCTCTCTTGTGGGCTGAAGATTGAACTCGACTCAAGTGATGAATGGGACAAGGGTTTCCTGCACAGCAAACACACGTAAACTAGCCTCGAGAGTTGTGCGAGGAAGGCCCCTCTGATGCTGAAGTCAGTACAGTGTTTAAAGCTGAAGTCAGTACAGTGTTTAAAGATAGAAAGCTATACAAGAGAATTAATGCTTGAGGCTTGAAGTGAATGAATTAAGAGAGAGAAGTCAAGGCTTTTATAGCTTACTCAAATAGATAAATTGGGCCTTGAGGTCAAATACGCTTGCCATGTTAACCGGGCCTTTGACTGACTTAGCATATATTAGGAGGGTTGAACTTTCTTTTGGGCTTTGTAATTAAATCATTTGTGGATCGGCCCAATTGAAGTAAAATGGACCCAAACAACTTGCCCCCTAGACCCGATTCGGAATTTGGACAAGTTGGGTTTTGACTTGCAAAATGGAGGGAAGCAAATGATTAATTTAACATTTAAACTATGTGGTTATTGAGGCAATAACAGGAGTTTGGAGAATTGGGAATTTGGATGGTTTAGTGGGCAGTTAATCAGAGAGGAAGACGGAAAGGTGGAGCATTGAAGTGGAGTTAGTGGGGGTGTTAATGGCGCGGACTCCCAAGATTCCCATTTCTAGAAGGTATTTAAGCCACTCGTCCCACATTCTCTCCTCATTTCCTTTTGCTAATTTCGAAATTCTTCTCGCTAATCACTGCTGCTAAACCTTTTTTCTTTTTTCACTCATATTCAGCAATCCGAAACTCAAAACTGAAATTTTTTGCTCGGAACTTATAGATTGACAAATTTCACGTCTGACCAAGGTAATTTTCTCAGAATTTTCTTTGGTTTTCTTGATTTTTCAAGTACCCCCCTTTTTCCGTTTTATCACACCACCACTGTTAAAAATAGCCGACAACCGTGGAGAGAAAAAGGTGGAGGCTGAGCCGAGCATTAAGAAAGAGGAAGAGGTTCCGCAATTGACTTTGCGGCAGAACCGTCCCTTGGCGATGATGTCACCCCTCAGCGACCAAAACCCTAGGGCTAGGGCTAATGCCGCCGCCGCTTTTAGCAGCTCTGCAATTAAGGTTGTCCCTTTGACTACCTTGCCGCCCAACGCCTCGGGAGAAGCTAGTACCTCCGGTCGAAGCGCGGCTTCGGCATCTAGGCCGTTGACCCCCGAGGAAAGGAAGTGGCTGGATGAAAATGAAAACGCCGGCCTTATGTCGTCTCCGCCTTATGAATGGTGGATTAAAAACAACGTCGAGTTTTACTTCGGCGAGCAAATTAAGGTTTGCTACAGAATTATGGAGGAAGATGGGTATTGGTGCCAAATGCCCTTTGTCAATGATAAGATTCACTGTCCTCCACCTGGCTACATTGGGGTTTATACCCGCCAGTTGCAGTACGGGCTATGATTCCCACTTCACTCCTTCATAACCTCAGTGCTGAACGTGTATAACATCTCGCTATGTCAGCTTACTCCCGTGAGCATCCGAAGGGTGATGACTTATCTCTAGGTGTGCCTGTTTTACGGATTCACGTCGAGCGTTCATTATTTTTGTTGCATGCATAAACTGGTCTCGAACACCCAAGCAAACAGATTTCATGGCCCCGGTTGGTGGCAAATTGAAGATGAGAAGGGCTACCTTTCGGTTTGGCCGAACGATACCTCGGATAAAGACTGGAGGGGTCAATGGATATGGGTAAGGGCGCCCCAAGACGAAGACCATCCAAACCACTTCGGTGCGTCGAGGTATCTGAGAAAGCCTGACCCCAGCATGCCTAGCATCGGCCTTGATGAGTTCTTCGATTCAGATTTGAAGCAAATGGCACTTTTCGGCCGGACCACAGTTCGTGGGGCCACAGGTCAAATGAAGGACGTGCCCACTACTTGGCTACCCTACTACCACTACATCTTCCAAGAGAAGATGCTTGTTGTTGTCGGCCTCAGCCGAAAGTACCAAGGCGGTAAGGAGCTCGGTTGGGGCCGAGGACTTTATTGTTTTTCTTTTTTGTTTCTTTTGCTTTTTGATGCCTATTTTCTTTGGCGAAGCTAACTGTTGTTCTTGTCTTTTTAGTTTTGTACAAAGAGAGTTCCGGCATCAATTACAAGGTGCTCGAGATCAATTAGGAGAGGAATCCGATCACCAACACCCCGAAGATCACTGATTCGAAGGATCGACCTCTCAGCTTGCACGAAAAGAGGTTCCAGATAGTCAGCGCAGCTGAATATCAACAACATAAGTCTTGGTGGAATAAGAGTGAACCCTATTTTCTTCTATCTGCCAAAGAGCAAGCCGCTACGGCTCGTGCTTCCTTTACAGCTAGAACTTTTGTTGCTGCTGGGACTTCTGCTCCTGCTACCGAGCAAACTGAAATAGTTGCTCCAAGAGTTGAAGAGGAAGAAGACGAAGACGAGCGTCTACTCAAGACTTCGATGAGCTTTCAAACTTGACTCGTCTGTTTGCTGTTGTTGTTTGTTGTTGTTTTTTTTTTTTGGCTCATATGGCTCTTTGCCCCCGTTCCTTCTTCTACAGTCAGACGAGTAAGAAGAGAACAAGGACAAACCTGCTGAAACTGTCCAGAAGATTTCTTCATACGAAGAAATGACGAGGCCGAAGCGAAGAGCTATTATCGGACTTGGGCAGTTTCAAGCTGCCCCTGTGCCTGCCAAGAAGCCTCAGCTAGAGGAAGAGAAAGCAGGGGAGACCAAGGAGAAAACTCCTCCTCCTCCTCCTAAGACTCTAGCCGAGCCAATCGAAGTTAAGGCAGAGGAACAGGTTCCTCCTTCTGAGCTGCTAGTTGAGACTCAAGAGGTTCATTCCAAGGGTTTGACTCCACCTCCATCTCCTCGGCATCTGGCTAAGCATTTTGCTAACGAGATTCAGTAAGAAGTTGATGCTCTGGACAACTTGATAGTCCAGCCTGACGATGAATAGGTGCATATTCTGAGTGGGAAGCTCGAGGGCTTCGATGTTGAGACCCCAAAGGGTGCTGAAGCTGAGATGAAAGTAGAGATGTGAAGGGATTTGATGTGCCTTCAACTTTGGTGGGCAACTCCTTCAAAACTTTCCCGTCTGCTGAAATGGGGTTCGAATCATTCCCATTGCTCCTTGTTCCTAACAGCACCAGAAACATCCTTTGGTCGCATCGAGATGCAGCTATCTCATTCTTCGGCAAGTTTTTTTTTCATAACTCCTTTACTTCGGCTGACGGGTTTTCAATCTCTGCAAGCCGTTCAGAATCACACTTTGGTTGTGGAGATGATTGAGGAGCTAAAGCTGAAGCTCGAGGAGGCCGAAGTCCGAGCTAATCTTGCTGGGCTCCGAGCCACTTCTGCTGAAGAAAAGGCTGTTGCAACTAAGGAGGCCTCGAAATTTGTCTTCAAAAATTTGGAGGATCATATATTCCCCGTCTTGGAGGAAGGATCCAAATTGTTGAAGAAGTATGGGGTTGAGGACATCCCTGATCTCGAGTGTCAGATTCAGGGAATGCAGCGGCAGTAGAAAGAAACTCAGCGGATGATGGTTGAGGATTTTAGGTAGAGATCTGTTGCTGCTGAGGAAGAGTCAATGAGAAGGCAAACTGATCTTCAAAATGAAGTTCAACGACTCCAGAACGAGCTGAACGCCAAACAGGTGGAGTCCTCCCGTTTTCAAAACGAGCTCAAGGAGGCTCAGGATCTGCTTAAGGCCCAGAAGGAGGAGGCTACCAAGACTCAGACTAAGCTCGAGGAGGCTCAGAAGCTCCTGTAGGTGCGGATCTATACCCAAGTCGAATATGACGAGGGCTACGAGAATGGGTTCAACGTAGCTCGACGTCTGGCTTTCCAAGCTGAGCCTAACATTAACTGGGATCAGGTTGAAGTCCGGGCCTCGGATAAGCGGGATGTTCATCTGAGGGAGGCCAGCCAAGCTAAAGTTGACTTCCTGACTTGTTAAGCAGAAGCTGAAGCTCGAGAGGAAGAGGAAGCTGCAAGGAAAGAGAGAGAAGCAGCTCATAAGAGAGAATCTGAGAAAGCTCTTGCTCAGCCCGCCTCTTCTTCAGCTGGTGCTGAAACTTCTGGGGGCCAAGATCTAGTTACTCCTCAGCCTAATCCTGCCAATGCTGAAGCACAGTCGTCTACAGAGTCATGCGGGTCAACTTGCTCTTAATTTTAAAATTTGTTGCATCTGTTTTTGCCTCTAAACCTTTTTTGCTTCAGCTCGCCTTGATGTACAAACTCTTAATTTGTTTTTGTTTTTGAGTACTTGTACTTAATTCAGCAGCTGCTTTTATCTGTCTTGCCGATTAGTATTTGGTTTCTTGAGTTTTCTGAACTTGATTTGATGTAGCTCGGTGATTCGAGCATAATTTGTTTGCTTAAAATGCATTGCTTTCTTTTCCAACTGCCTTACTCTTTTACTTAGTTCTTTGCTTGCATTTTGTAAATTTTTGCAAAAAATTTCTTAGTGTTGAGCTTCGCCTTGGACTTGTCTGGTCCCCAACTTGTTGGAAGAGTGGGGCTGCTGAGTGCTTCTTGCCCCCCAGAAATCTGAAGTTTTAGTCTTCGAATTTCTAAGGTGTTTGCTTGGTTTTACTCGTACAGACGAAGTCTTTGCTTCGTTTTTCCCTGTACTACTTAGCAAAATTTTTGAAGTTTCTGACTTTTTCTTTTCTCTTCTTTTTTTTTTTTTTTTTTGAAGAATCTATGAGTTTGCTGCTTAGAAGTCTTAGACTCTGAGAACAGTATTCTCTCGATCCTTGAAATTTTTCTAGGGAATGACTATCCAAAGCACAATGCCAGTGTTTGGCAATGCCTCGGACACAACTCCTCTAAAGCACGATGCCAATGATTGGCTATGCTTCAGATTTGTCCACAGCCTCTTTGCCCCAAGGAACTGACCTGTCCGAAGTACCG